AGTTCACCTGTGCAGGGGCACCGAAGCCCTGATCTGGCCCCAGGGCCATGGTAGCATCAGCAGGTGTCAGACAGCTGCCTCCTTGGAGTAGACTCCACTCCTCCCTGGAGGTGGAGAATTGGAGTTGGTGACCTTCCATGGGGTAACCTTCCACAGGATGCCAAGTAAAACACCCTGGGGTATGCACTCAAGTACCCCAAAGCCACCAAGGTAACCCACTCCTGCCTCCTTTGCTGGAGCCGCCATGGCCTCTGGTCCCACTCCCTTGACCGCTTCCACTCTGCGGGAACCGAAGCTGGACGTGGAGAGCTGCAGCCCAGTCGAGAGCGCCGAGTGGCTTGTGCTGGCCCAGCTCTTGCTGACCAAGCCTCCAAGGGGCAGGATCAAGGCCAGTGACAGCCCTAGCAGTGACCTGCGAAGCCAATGGTGCCAGAGAGGGGAACCGAGGATGCCCTGGGGACTTAGCAGAAACCTAAGGTGGGATCAGCCATGCCACTGGGCTGGGGGTGGGGGAGGGGGCACACAGGAGCAGGAAGCGATGGATGCCATGGGGAAAGGATTGCAAGGTGCCACTTCTCGGGATAAAACAGAAAAGGGACCAGACTCCTGCCACTGCTCACAGGGGAACTCGGCCGGTCCCTCACTTCTGGCTTGTGAGCTTTTGGTGACACCCTGCAGCCAAACCCATAGCTCCACCACCACGTTGCTGCTCCGGCCAGGCCCATGGAAAAGCGGAGGAGACAGAAGCTAAGCCAATTAAACCAGCTCGAGGCCAGGATGCCCTGCTTGGGACTCTATAATGTTAGAACCAGCAGGGCCCTTGGCAACCACAGAGCCAGGGGATTCAAGGAGCATCTCAGCTGGGCACTGGTACAGGCCTGTCATGCCAGCACCCGAGAGCCAAGGTAGGAGGATTGTGAGTTTGAGTCCAGCCTGGGCTATGTAGAAGTGATCTCGTCTTGCTAAGAAAAAAAAAAAGTTTGAACAGCAGACCCATCTCCAAATGAAATCTTAGAAACAAGATATAAACATAAAACAAGGCTGTGGAAGACCCGGGGCCACCATCCCCTGGCTGAACCCCCTTGCCTGGTTTAGTCAGGAATCCAGGACTCTGGAAGAGGCCCCGAGCCAGGCTCGCACAGCCACTGAGAGCAGGGGGCTCCTCACAACCACTCCTGACCAACCCCTGCCCCCTGGGGAGGGCCCAGCCTTCCCAGAGACGCATGTGCAAGCAGATGCAGATGGAGACCTACACTCCAGGCCACGTGCTGGCCATGGTGACAGATACTTGTGGGGCTCTAACTCCTCGGGGAGATCTTGTAACTTGTGCTAAGCTAAACTTTTATACTATAAAACTAGTGCATGAGGCCATCCTGAACTGCATAGTGAGACCCTGTCTCAAAACGCCAAAAACACATTAAGAAACAACCCCCCCAAAAAACACATTATACTTTCAGATTTTTCAAATAGGATAAAAGGAAATGCCATGTCTCTTCCCCTACTGATATTCAGCCGCAGAGGTTTCCAGTGCCTACCCACACATCTAAAATGATAACCTTAGTTACCCAAGGGAGACATGGCCAGCTTGCTCAGCTCGTTTTAAAATGCAGTGAGACTCCCATGTCACACCAACTTCATTTGCTGTTTTAAGACAAGGTCCCACTGTGTAGTCCAGGCTGGCCTGAACTCTCGACTCTTGGTTACCCTCCTGCCTCACCTTCCCGAGTCCTGGGATTACAGGTGTGCACCACCACGCCAGGGAAACTTCATCCTTTTTTTTTCCCTTTTCCTTCTTTCTTTTCTTTTGGTACCAGGGATGGAACTCACAACCTCACGCCTGCCAAGCAAGTGCTTGTGCAGCTGAGCTATATCCTCCGCACTCGTTCTGTTTAATAGCTAACTAGTGTACTCCGTTAGACTGCTTCTAGTTCTTTCCTACTAAAAACAATATTATCAATAATCCTGTACTGACACATGCCTGGAGTCCCAACTACTGGGAGGCTGAGGCAGGAGAATCACTGAAACCCAAGAGTTCAAGGCCAGCTTAGGCAACCCAGTAGTACCTCATCTTAAAATATATATGAATTATACTACTAATCTATTAGTTCATCAAAAAGAACAATTTGTGCTTTCATTGTTTGACCATCTTTTCATGCCTGTATCAGTCATCTGAGCAACTACTTTAAAGATAACAGCAGCACTATATTAACCACTGTTAGTCTCCTATTCTGTGCAATCCTGATGTGCAATTGTTTTAAAATAAAATATACATATATAATAGAATAAATGCTCCGCCCACACATTGAGCTTTGCACAGCTGTGGAAACTCACTCCCCTCTCCCAGAAGTCAGCCAGCAGGCAGAGAAGGGCAGGCAGTAGCCCAAAGCCTGACAAAGTGCACTAGGCCTCCCTCCGATCCCCAGAACCACCTGGAAAAGTAAAAGCTATACTCGCCACCAGCCAGCATAGCTCCTTGCCATAGTGATAATAAAAATTAGAACCAAAGTGTGAGTTTGCAGAAAGGCTCTGAGAGAAAATAAAGGGGAGCACAGTTGTGAGATTTATCCAGCCACCACCAAGGAAAGTCAGAGCGGCAGGAAGGAACTCTGCCTGAGGAGCTGGAGGGGCCCACTCTGATGCAGAGTTCAGCTGCTGCACCCATGAAGCAGGAGGGGGCTCTCAAGGGCCAGCTGCGGTGGTCGGGTCCCTCTGATCCCGTGCCCGCCATATCCTGGTTGCGGTTCCCTGCTCTGGAGGGACCCTCACATTGCTCAGCAGTTCCAGTTGTTCCGTGACTTGCGTGTCTCTCTGTCTGTGAGGCTCAGTCCTGAGAGGCTCTGCTTCCACCCAGAACCCAGGGGATCTCGAGGTTCTAAGTGTCCCTCCAGGGACCTAGAAAAACTGACCTCAGATCTACCTGTGAATCCTGAAACCTAAACTTACCTCGGTGTCCTCATCTTAAAGGGATGAGTAGCTCTAGGGCCAATAAACTTGGAACACACCCATGTGCACGGTTGAGAATCTGACCCAGAGTTTCCCAAAGCAAAGGTCAAGCTTGTACTCCTGTCAGTTACCTACCGGGCATGGGCAGGCCTGAGTAAAGGGAATGGGCGTTAGCAAAAACTGCTTTTAAGTCCCTGAGTGACTCTGAAGAAAACACGAATCGCATTTTGAATGAGTAACAGGTTAAAACCCAGGAGTAAGTACACTTTTTGTCTCCATGGTGGTCTCTGGGTCATGACCATGTCACTCTCACATCTTCTGGAGGCACTGGCAGGCTGAGCTGGGGCTTCTAGAAGCTTCCACCTCTTCAGGAGCCTCAGAAGGTTGAGCTAGCTGTTCCTGATCATGGGGAGAAGGTTCAATCTCTCTCAGAGAGCTGGGAGGCTGAGAGAGGGCCTGCTGCTGGGCAGATGATTCCATCTCATCAGGACTCTGCAGGCCAGGCTGGAGCCCCCTGCTGGCTTGGAGCGGTTGCTGGACAAGACTCAGGTGGAAAAATAAGAAAGCAGTGGCGTGGAATAATTCACTGATCGGAGGCCCCAAGGACTGCCATAGCCTTGTGAGAGACACCCCAACTAAAGTTATAAAAATACATTACTGTAATATGTTCACACTGGTCACCACCAGAAGAAATAGTACAATAAGGTTTTGATGCTCCGATACAAAGGTTTCATATGGCTGTGACAAATGCCTGTTATAAACTGCATGAGTATTCATGTACTTACGCTCCCAGATGTACAGGGTTTCCAAATGTAAAACAGGGTTTGTTTATGATGACAGAGTGGGTTCAGATTCAGACCTCGGACTTTAACAAAAGCTTAGGAGCTACACACCCCACTAAAGGTCAGCATGTTAGATAAACGCTTATGTATGCCATAGGGATGACTAACGGGTGTTTTACGTAGAAATGGAAATTTAGGCGTGTTACAAACTGCCATGACTGTCATGCTATTTGCTGATTTCTAATTTTCCATGTAAAATATCTGTTACTCTACAGGTATTCAAACGTTAAAACATCCATGGTTGTTTAAAAAAAAATAATGGTTAGAGCCGGGCACGGTGGCTCATGCGTGTAATCCCAGCACTCAGGAGGCTGAGGCAGGAAGATTGTTGGGAGTTTGAGACCAGCCTGGGCTACAAAGTGAGCTCAAGGCCAGCCTGAACTGCACAGTGAGACCCTATCTCAAAAAGACAAAAAATAAATAAATAACAGCTCCATTTTATGTTCCAGGATGTCTAATATTTACATAAGGCAATAGTGCTAAGCTTCCTGCCTCCACCGCACTGTACTGTTATCAATCTTTGCTTCTGGGTGTTCAGCAACTGTGGGTTAGTTGAAAACTTAAAGCGATCGATGGGCTAAGAGGACAGCCAGTTTAGCCCTGGCCCTCTGAGGTCAACGAGGACCCAGGATATCAGAGAATCTCTGCTGCGACATCCTATACTCAACGAGTCCCTGATCTTCTCTGATCAAGATGATTTTGAGACCACAGTGGAAAATGATCAGCAGTGTGTGGTATATCCAAGGAGAGTCACTAGCAGAGAAGGTCTCCCAGACTTTCACAGAAAGCAACCTGGGCAAGCACGGGCCATGACTCATCCAGAGGGATGACGCTCACAGAACTAAGAGATGCCATGCACGGTTTCAAGGCAATTCCTGAGGAGACCTAACTGACCCTGACTCGGTCTTGGGCGTCCAGCAGAAAAGCATAACCACCAAATGTATAAAACATAACTATAGTAATACGTTAGTTACAATGGAAATGCAAATCAGTAACACTTCTGCCAGCTACACTGACAGCTGTCTACTGTTATGGATTAATGGGCTTTAAGGGTTAAATCACTGAATGCCAGAACTTAAAATCCTTGGACTGCATTTAAAATGAAAAGGTTCAAGGATAAAAGGTCTTCCTCAGAGCTCTCCAACACAGCTCCTCCAGCTTCAACTGACCACCCAGCCTGAGCTACAACAAAACAAAAAGAGGGACATGTAGGGAGCCGTTGAAGCTGGACATTTATCACATGTGCGGCTAAAGCAAGGCCAGCCCTGGAAACACAAGGAGCCCAAAGCAAGCTATGTAAAGCAGCTGTTCCCGCTCCAAAGCAGGGGCCCAGGCAGCCAGGCAGCGGGGGCTAGGACTGCCGACATCCTCCCAAGTGTACAAACAAAGGCTGCAGTGGCTGAACAGTCCCTTCCCTCTCACCAGGAGAGGGCGCCAGCTGACGCCAGCTTTCTGCATTTGCTCTGTGTCACGGTCCTCACCCCAGGAACCTCAAGAGCCACACAGGTGGTGGTAAAAAGGACCACTACTGGACAGCAGTTAGAATCTTCTATGCGAAGGCAGCACCGCCAGGGCCTGGATCCAATCCCCATACATCGCAGCCCTCGAGGCACCTCTCTGGCCATCCTGCAGACTCCAAAATGGAATAGCAAATGGGTCTTGCTCCAGGGACAGCTGTCCAGCTGCATCTCTGTCCAGGAATGGGAACAAACTGGCAGTCCATTCTGGAGGTGGGATTGGCATCTACAAGGGAGGAGATCCCAGGTCATCAAAGCTCCCTGGGCATGCAGGGGTGGTGGTGGTAAAGGCATGGGCAATTCAGGTGGGAGCTGAGTGAGGACCAGAGGTTAGTAGGCCTGGGCATCAGGGTTGAGTGGGACCAGGGGTCAGGTTCACTCTGGATGGGGTTCAGCCAGACCGGCAGCCACAGCTGCTGCCTCGAGGAGATAGAGGCCAGAGGTGCAGCACGAATATGATGTGCTGACGCTGGGGCGCGGTGCTGCAGGTGAGTGGGCTGTCAGTGCCACCCCTGCAGGGCTAATCCTTACCACAAGACAGTGCTGGCCTGTGCCTTGGGAACAGAGCATGCCGCACCCCGTCCCTTTGTTTATAAAATCTTCACTAGGCTCTGACCCAGATAGGCTTGTGAGATGTGAGACAAGGGAAAGCCTTTTCTACCGTGACCAGGACTGACCTGCAGCAGGATTGACATGGTGCACACGCACATGTGCCCATACACACACGCGCACACGCACACACGCACACACACACACACACACACAGCGAGAGGTGAGCCTCAGGCCTGGCATGAGCAGGGCCTTCAAAAAGGGAGAGGGGGGCTGGGGATTTAGCTCAGCGGCATAAGCACCTGCCGTGCAAGCAGGTGGTCGTGAGTTCGATCCCTGGTACCGATAAAAATGAAAAAGACAAAAAAAAAAAAAAAGAAAGGGAGAGGGGCACTGAGCTTCCCACCTAGGTCAAGGGCTGGTCCTGCTCCAGGAGCCCGACCTCCTCCTCCTCCATGTTGAAATCCCGGAAATCTTCTTCCCCTAGACTGTGCTGCTCCCAAGCAAAGCGACCAACCTGCAAAGTGAGGACCAGTTAGGGTGCAGCTGGGAGCTCACGCAGCACTTAGGCCAGTGCTGCCACCTGCTCTGACTCAGTCTCACTCATTCCCCCCAGAAGGCTATGGCTACACTGGCTCTGGGATGGCAGCACGGTTTTGGCAGCAAATGGGCCGTTTCCCCGGACAGGGCCTGAGTCCCAGGGCACAGCTCTTCACGCAGGCCCAGGAGGAGGCTCCCCACCCTGCCGGGCTCCACCCAATCACCCACCCAGACAGGCACCGCTGGAGGTAAGGTCTACAAGGGTAAAACCCTTCCTGAACGCTGCTCCGAGATGCCCCGTCACAGCCTCCTCAGAGGATGCCCTTCCTTCCCGTTTACTACTGGCACAGCCCTGGCGTGTGACATCAAGTGGAGATGCCTGCTTACCCCCAACCTGCACACGCCAGGCACTCAGCAGGGGCCTACTGCAGCACTGACTCCAAATCACCTTCCCTGGGGTGGACCCGATGCCCTCAGGCTGGCTCCCTCCTCTCATCTCACAAGACAGGCTCCCAGAGCTGCTCGTTCCTGGACTAATCCTTTTGTTCACGTGGAAAAGAAACTCCCACTACCTCTCCAGCGGGCGACTCCTTCCTCTGCCTCTTCCAAACAAACCACTCCCTGACTCTGGGATGTCGGACCACCATCAAAAATCCCCAAACGGAGTTCCCACTGGCACCAGACACAAAGATACATCTTTTATCCACTTCCTAGAACCCTGGCTATTTTCTTTCAGCAACTACTTTGGGACTTAATCCCTGATTAAGGGTTTTCCTAGGACTGATTTATGGAAAGATTCTTCAGCCAAATATTCTACTCAAGATGCAAGGAGCTGCTGAGATGTGAGAAATGAGCCATCTCCGGGAAGCAGAGAGGGCGAAGCTGCGGCACGAGCAAAGCTGTGGGAATTCTGACCCCCGGGATCTAGAAGAGGAGTGCTGTCCTGATTCCCTAGGACCTTTCATGGAGGCCCCACCCTCCCTTCTCCCATGTGTCCACAGCTGCAGCCCCACCTGAGGGGCCTTAGCTCTGCTCCCCAAGCTCCAGACAAGGGCTCAGGGCCAAGACCTTAGGAAAAGCCCTAGAAATGCATTCAAAAGCGGCGGCAGAATTTCGTATCTTCTTCAGAACAATACACCCGAACACCTGCAAATCCTGCTTTTCTTCTGTTTCCTGCGGTGCTGACACTGGAACCAGGGCCTCACACCTGCTAGGCGAGCGCTCACACAGGCGGCTGCACCAGCCCTTTCCACCTACTCCTGCTGCATGAGCTGAATCACGAATGTTGATGACAGAGCCCTCGAGCTCCCACCCCCACGTACTTGAATTAAACCCTGAAGCTCTTCTTCACTCCAGGCGTCTCCAGTCTCCTCTCTGGGTCTGTACTCCACAGCTATTTTACCGCTCTCTGAAACACAGTTAATAAGGAACGAGTCAGAACTTTTCTTGCTCTAAAGTTTTCTGCATACCGCAGCAGCACCCAAGTGCGACATTCCCAAAAGCAGAAAATGAGCACATCTTCCTAGAAATGTGCTCATCTCATACTTCAGTTCTGACACAACTATTTGCTTAAATGTACGCATCCAGTAGCCACTGCGTTTCTGTCTGAATCACTTTCTCATCACTGGGACAAAATATGTGATACCCACAGCTTCAGGGGAGGCGGGCGGTGCTATCCTGGCTGATGGTTTGGAAGCTTTGAGCCATGGTTGGTACGGCGGAAGGGCCTGGTGTGAGCAGAGCTGGGTGTGTCACCAGAGACAAGGGAGGCAGGGCAGGAGACACATCCAGTGACCCATCCCTAAGAGCAAGGTCAGCTCTCATCAATGAATTAATCCATGGATGAGCACAGCACCCCCTAAGATCCAGTCACCTTCTAACAGCCCCACCTCCGAACCCGTGGAAGTTTGGGGACCCTTCTAGAGCTAAATAACAATCTGTTTCAAAGAACTTAGTGATCTTAAAGATAGGAATCATGGCCAGGAATCTGGAGCAAACAGGTGCAATGACTGAACAAGAAAGCATAAGGTGGAGTCCAAGTGAGTTTAGGCCTGGGACGGAGACCACGGGACCAGTAGATACCGTGGAACCAGTAGATACTACAGACCCGAAGTGAGGGGCGATTTTTGCTAAGAACCAAAATGCCATGGGTACAATGAGCAAAGCTTTAAAGAAAGCACTGCAACCTTGCATCACCAGCAACCAGCCACATTCGCAAGCAGAGTAGAACCTCTGGCTCCAGGAGTTTCAAGTCTATGCTGGGCACAGCATGGCACATGATGGTGAGGCTCTTAAAGGCCCTGACTGAGTGTCCACATCGAGGGGAATCCCGGCTGACGACTATGGAAGTCCGACTGTCACCAGGAGGGTTGCACAGGCTGGAAGACTGAGACCAGGCAGACCCACCCCGTGCAAGCAGACAGGGATGAGGACTTCTCAGGGTCACAGCCTCGCAGGCTGTGAAGCAGGAGAGCAGTTCCGTTGAGGGGCCTTGCTCATCTAGCTGAAATGTGCACCCCAGGGTAAAATTCAATAGGAAGCTCAAAAGCACTCAGCAGAGTGAGCACTGCCAAGGCAAGGCCCACGGAAAGAGGCTCCCCGGAGTGTCAGCGCCATGAGTGGAAACATGGAGTGGATGCTTGACTGAGCAGAGCTCATTTATTTGGAGAGAAAACTGTTGTCACAATAATTAACATGCGGGCTGTGTGGTGCACTCTTGGAGCCCTAGCACACAGGAGGCTGAGACAGGAGGATCGTTGGGAGTTCGAGAGCAGCCTGGGCTACAAAGCAAGCCCAAGGCCAGCCTTTACTGCATAGCAAGACCCTGTCTCAAAATGACTAAAATAAAATAAAAATTAACGTATTTCTCTGCCTACCATGCAAACACCATTTGGAGACTTTCCGTTCATCCTTTCAGGTGCTCTTACCATACCTCCCTATATGGTAGGTGGAATCACTGGCCTTGTTTTCATAGCTAGAGACTGCAGATTAGATCTATAATATCTACAAATCCCTTTGGCTATAAACAGAAAAGCCATTTAAAAATATAAGAGGCAGGATCAGGGCTCAAGTACACTTTCCATGTGAGTTCCAGCAAGTGGTTGGACATTGCTAAACTGGGGACAATATTTGAGGTCGTTTTTCTCACAGATGCTAAAAAGAACAAATTTGAGACCACTACCATGAAAGAATCGAGAGTCAAAGCACAATGTAGATTGTTTTAAACAGCCATATTTTTGTCCCCATTTCAAAATAAGGTATCTGCTCACTGAAACAGAAGTCCTGGGACAACCAGGAAAGTCTCTCACCCAGAACCACAATGCACAGTTTCTGGAACGCATCCAACAAAGCCTTCTGGACAGCAAGCTTCTGGGCCTCCTTTCTTCTCGTCACCAGCGCAGTCAGTCCTAGACCCAGCCCACACAAAGGAATTGACAACTGTCATGTGCTTGAAAGGTCATCCCCGACTGTCAGGTGGTTATCCTGTGGACTCAACGCATAGTACGAGAGCCTAGTGGAATGGTCAGTGGCCAGCAGGCCCTGGTAGGGCCTTGTCCCTGCCCTGATCCACTGAGGCATAATTCTCACTCCCCTTCTCCCCACAGAGGTCCCTAATAACTAGAAACCCTGGCCTGCAGACCCCAGCCTGTGGTGCATCCGGGATACAGTCACAGTGAGAAGGGCTTGGAGCCAACCCCTGCCCAGCAGCCACTGCAGCCTGTCTGCTCCAGTCCAACAGCCTGCTCCCGACTTAGCCCCAGAGCAGAAGGCTGTGGACTCTAGGAAAACTCACTATCTGTGGGCACATCCTTCCAGGCATCCTTAGCCAATTCTTTTACTCCTCCAGTTCTTTGTGAGTACACAAGGGGCTGACAGTGTACGTAAGGCTTTATGAAAATCTTCAGATGATGATTTTGCAGAGATAACTAAAGACTACCAGAGATCTGTATTTGAAGAATTATTTTACACAAAACAACTTCATAATCAAAACCCAGAGAAACATTATTTCCTTCCTTCTCCTAAGCCTCTTGGCTGGAAGAGACTGTTCTAGTTTTCAATTCAAAAGTCCTTCCAGAAAAAAAAAAAAGTCCTTCCAGGTTTTGCCCAAGGGCAAAACCTATGTTGTAAGACACAAAAACACTGCCCAGGAAGGACTTTAGTAGCTCTTCAAGGTAGCTAAGAAGTGGGTTATGAAAAAAAAGAGACAGCCGTACTTGGTGGTGTCTATAATCCCAACACTCAAGGAAGCTGAGGCAGGAAGATCACTGTTTGAAGGCAGCCTGGGCTACAAAGTGAGTTCAAAACCAGCCTGAACTGCATGGTGAAACCCTGTCTCAAAAAGACAAAGACAAACTGTTGGGAGCCGCAGCCCCGAGCCCGGTCGCCTCACTTGGCGGACGTGAGGCCTGTAGTAAAGAGTAAAGCCTGAGGTAGATTACCCCTCCCATCGAGCACGTTAGTTTCCTGCTTACCGCGTAAGCAACCCGCTCAACAATATAGTCTGCCTGGCAACTGATGATGTTAGCCAATCAGCTTGCCTTGCTCACTTTAACATGATTGGACACTGTATCCGTATATATACTGGTGCCACCCCTGGGGGGGAAGAAGAAGCCCGGAAGTAGAAGCCCAGAAGGAGCCGCGGGGAGCGGACCAAAGGAGGCTTCGGCTGGGAGCGATCCCAGGGCAGGCTGTACGGAGAAGAAAAATAAAAGAAAAGGTTGTCCACTGCCAGACTTTGTCGTGTGTCCTTCCTGCCGGCCGGGAGCGACATCGACATTTGGTGGCCCGCACGGGGACTGATCACCCCCGAGACGTGACAGCGGACAACGCTCCAGTACAGAGCTGCGAGACAGGTGAGTTGGGGATAAGCCTGGGCTCTGGGTGGCGCGCACCTACAGGGCTTTTAGACTCCCCTCAGGCTCACGCGTAAGTGGCGGATTCCTTGGGCCTCACGCGGTGAGTAACATATTAAAAAATGGGAAACATGCTAGGTAGCAACACTAAGAGCGAGGGTGGTTGTGGAGAAAGCTCTCAAGAGCTTACAAAAGTACGCAGGGTATCTGAGCAGGCCCAGTCAGGGAGCTCCCGAGAGGGGCCCGTCAAGGGGAACAAAGATGCTAAGGAGGAGGACGGGGCTCTAGCCTCGGAGTCGTCTGACTCCGAGGCCGAGGGAAAGTTGAATGGCAAGGAGGCCAAAGAGACCAGCTGTCAGGAGCCCAAGTCGCTCGATAAGGAGTCACAGGGTTCTTTTCCAGCGTTGCGCCGCGAATTGCGCTCTGCTCAACCTGGTCTGCGGAGGAGTAGAGAGCTCCTGAGCGCTCCCCGGCGCGAGAGGGAGGCGATCCCTCACCACGAGGCGGCCGCCTGGGAGCTCCCTCCCCTTTCGCCAGAACAGGAAGTGATGCACGGGCCCCCATTTTCCGCCCAATCACGGCCGCCGTCTTATGCTCCGCCGCCGGCGGGTCAGTATTTTTACAGGCGGCTTTGGCAGGGGGGACGCTTGTCTCATGAGGTACATCCACCTGGGATAGATAGTGGCCCCTACGGGATATTTCCTGTACAAGTAGCTATGGGCCAGGGACGCAATGTATGGGAGCCTTTTGAGATAAAGCAGATTAGAGAACTTAAAAATGCAGTTACAACCTTTGGACCGACTGCGCCTTACACCATTGCCATGCTGGAGAACCTGTCTTCTGGGCCCCTCACCCCCGCGGACTGGATTCAGCTGGCAAAGGCGTGTCTGTCCTCGGGTAATTACCTGGATTGGCGAGCCTGGTACGCAGAGTTCTCTGCAGAGCAGGCTGAGAGAAACGCCAATCGGGGAAACCGGGGGTGGAACAAGGAAATGCTTATGGGAGAAGGTCGGCACGCTGATGATCAGACTCAATTCCCCGGCGCTGTCTATGAACAAATCAATGCCATAGGGCTCCGCGCCTGGAAGCAAGTAAGTGGTGCCGGAACAGCCTCCTTGTGTCTTTCAAAAATAATTCAGGGTACCACAGAGCCATTTGTTGACTTTGTGGCCCGAATGCAAGATGCTGCCGATAAGATATTCTCTGATCCGGGAGTGGCTCGACCGCTGGTAAGGCAGCTGATTTTTGAGCAATGTACAAAGGAGTGCAAGGCAGCGATAGCTCCTCATAAGAACAAGGACCTCAACGCCTGGATTAGGATATGCAGAGAGATAGGGGGGCCGCTCTCCAACTCGGGAGTGGCTGCTCTCCTGGCCACGGCTGTACAGCAGAGGGGACCTCGCGGGTTAGAAGGGGAATGTAAGGCTAAAGGGTGTTTTGCCTGCGGGGAGCCAGGACACATTAAACGTCACTGCCCAAACAATGCAGATGCTAGGCCTCGTCCTAGGAATGAAGAACCATATGTTTGTGGGCGATGCAAGAGGGGATCACACAAAGCTGAGGAGTGTAGGTCGGTCTTTGATGCTCAGGGCAACCGTATTTGTGGACGAGATGCTAGAGGGCCAAAAAACAGCCAGAGGGGGCCCCCTTCACAGGCGGGCCCCCGCCCCAGAGACAGGACAGCTCAGGATGGCAGCCTTCAACAAGGGCCACCCCTGGGTCAGCAGGTGTGGACCTCAGTGTCGCCTCCAGACTTATACAGAAGGTCACCATTAGGACAGATGGCGTTAGGACCCTAAATGACATGCATAAACTATTGGGAGACATTAATTGGATTAGGCCATATTTACATATACCAAATTCAGATCTCAAACCCCTGTTCGACCTTCTAAAGGGAGACCCAGATATAGCCTCCCACAGGAGGCTCACTCCTGAGGCAAGAGCTGCCTTACAGAGAGTGGAAAAAGCCTTAGGTGGGGCTACCTTACACAGAATTAAACCAGGGCGACCCTTTGATGTCTGTTTGCTACAGACTAGTCTACAGCCTACAGCGGTGATTTGGCAGAAAGGACCACTACTGTGGATACACCCTAAGGTCTCACCTGCAAAAGTCATAGAGCATTACCCGGAGGCAGTCGCTTCATTGGCCCTTGAAGCGCATGATAGAGCTGTCCAACATTTTGGCTCAGGACCACAAGCCATCCGAGTACCCTATACCGCCAGCCAGATCAAGACCCTGGCTGCCTGCATAGATACTTGGGCCATTCTGAGATGTGTTTTCCATGGGGATATAAACAATCAATACCCTAAAGACCCTATCTTGTCATTTGTCACTCAGCACCCTATAATTTTTCCAAAGGTTACTGCCTCTGAGCCATTAGTCCCAGCAACTACAATATATACAGATGGCTCCAAGACGGGGATAGGCGCCTATGTGATCCTAGGCAAGCCCCCGGTTACCATACAATTTGAACCAGATCAGCCTCAGGTGGTAGAACTGCAGATCGTTAAAATGATTCTTGAACGGTTCTCAGAAGCCATTAACATTGTCTCCGATTCTAGGTATGTGGTCAATGCTATGCAAGTGCTTGAGACTGCCGGTTTAATTAGATCCACTTCCACAGTGGCTGGGCTGTTCCTGTCTATCCAGACATTGCTTCAGAACAGACACCATAAGGTCTTCACCACCCACATAAGAGCACATACATCCCTGCCAGGGCCTATGGCACAGGGGAATGCGGCTGCTGACACTACCACTCGCCCGTTATGGATTTTTACCTTACTAACACCAATCGAGCGAGCCCGTGCCTTCCATGATAAGTTTCATGTCAATGCCAGGACACTAGCAAACCATTTCCATGTTTCCAGAGCAGATGCACGAGATATCGTGCGACTATGTGACTCCTGTGCCACATACAAACCTGCCATACCGACGGGAGTAAACCCTCGAGGTTTGATCCCTGGTGATGTTTGGCAGATGGACATCACACATATACAGGAGTTTGGGACTCTTAAATATGTTCATGTTTCCACAGACACCTGTTCTCACGTCATATTCGCAACAGCAGAAACAGGTGAAAAAGTGTCTAATGTGATCAATCATTGCCTGGCGGCTTGGGCCGCATGGGGCAAACCAAAAATATTAAAAACTGATAATGGACCAGCCTATATAGGCAAAGCCTTCAATGAGTTCTGCAAAATGATGGAGGTTCAATTAAAACATGGTATCCCATACAATCCCCAAGGTCAAGGAATCATTGAGAGGGCTCATAGAAGCCTCAAAGAAATTTTACAAAAACAAAAAGGGGGAGTAGGCCAAGGCCTGGCCCCAAAGGCACGATTATCCATGGCACTATTCACACACAATTTTTTAAATTTAAATAATGATAATTGCTCCCCAGCCGTGGAGCACTGCAACCCTTCCCCCAACCATAAAGGGTGGGTGAAGTGGAAAGATGTCCTGACAGGACAATGGATGGGCCCGGATCCGGTAATCAGCTGGAACCGAGGCGCGGTTTGTGTTTTCCCACAGGAATCGGGACGAGAACCACTGTGGGTACCGGAGAGACTGACACGGGCGACAAAGCCCTCGACTGAAGATCAGACCTGCCCTACCGGAGATCCATCACAGACCAACCAACAAGATGAATAGAAATAGCGGTAGCCTGAAATGGACAAGAAGATCCTCAGGCATATGCATGGCTCGCTCGCCTAGCCTACGACCGAGTCTAGGGACGGTGAGCTTCCCACACTCCTCCTCTAAAAAATTATGACATAGCTGGGTAGGAGAGTCAATGACGGGTAAGAGCGTACTCCCCCGGTGCGACTCAACCTAAGCCAGGCCCTACCCCATCCTGCACGTAAGCCGCTGGACTGTTAGATGCTGCCCAGGTCTAAATTTCTCTCCGAGGGGATTTCTTTACGGAGAGGAAATGAGTGCAAGCTTGTGTGCATCCAGGTTCCGTCCAGTTTGTGCCTGGCCCTAGAAAAAGGACGAGGGCCTCAGGGCCTTGGCAGACCATGGGACGGCCGACCAGGGTCTAAGCCAAGGACCTACGGTGGGCCTACACATAGGGCATAAGCCTCTGCACCCAGTCCAGAAAGGGCTACGATGCGCACATTCATAAAAAATAAAAAAGGGGGAGATGTTGGGAGCCGCAGCCCCGAGCCCGGTCGCCTCACTTGGCGGACGTGAGGCCTGTAGTAAAGAGTAAAGCCTGAGGTAGATTACCCCTCCCATCGAGCACGTTAGTTTCCTGCTTACCGCGTAAGCAACCCGCTCAACAATATAGTCTGCCTGGCAACTGATGATGTTAGCCAATCAGCTTGCCTTGCTCACTTTAACATGATTGGACACTGTATCCGTATATATACTGGTGCCACCCCTGGGGGGGAAGAAGAAGCCCGGAAGTAGAAGCCCAGAAGGAGCCGCGGGGAGCGGACCAAAGGAGGCTTCGGCTGGGAGCGATCCCAGGGCAGGCTGTACGGAGAAGAAAAATAAAAGAAAAGGTTGTCCACTGCCAGACTTTGTCGTGTGTCCTTCCTGCCAGCCGGGAGCGACATCGACAACAAACAAAGACCCTTCTCCTCCTTGCTCGGCCCAGTGGGAACAGACCTTCCTCAAGCTCCTCCACCGGCTCCTCCACGATGGCGAACCCAGGGCTCCTGCACTGGTAGGACGGCAGCACCACCTCTACGGCACACAGGAACTTCAGGCTCCGCTTCCCCAGTGGTGCTGCAAGAGCCCCCACTTCCCCTCCTTCAAGGTCAGAGACTTCCTGAAGCTGTTAGGGTTTTGGATTAAAAGTCCTTGCTGGGCCCAGATTTAGCTCAGCAGCACAAGTGCTTGCCTGGCAAGTGCAAGGTCCTGAGTTCAATCTCTGGTACTGAAAAGTAAAAACAAAGATCTTTGCTACCGTACACAGGGTTTGGGGTTGAATTCAGGACCTCACACTTGTTGGCAAGTGCTCTACCACTGAGCTACATCCCCAACCCAGAATTTTTAAAATAAAGAAAGAAAAACCAACCTCCAATAATCCCAGTTAAAAATTGAGGTGTCTTACATCTTTGAGATCGAATAAGATTTGCAGATGAATTACTACATGTACACAACCATTTTTTACTAAACACCTCACAAACACTGGAGGAACACTGACTGAGATGACTATGATTCCTTCTAGGTGGTGGGCTAGTCCAGCTCCCTCCGTAAAGCCTCCACAAGGGCACGGCCACACATGTGCTCCTCAAACCCACTCAGCCCTTCTGTCGGAAGCCCAGAGTTATAATGTTGAAAACACAGTGTGGTTAGTCAGAGAGGACACGATGCTTACCTTGATGATCCTTTTCGACCATCCGTTGAAACCGAAGTAGTAATTTGCCAGCTCCTGGCATCGTGAGCTGTTCAGGGGAAGCGTCTGATGTTGAACTGCCTTGTGTCTGCTCCCAAGGTGGACCTGAGGTCACAGAAGATGGGCCAGCAAATAGGTAAGCAGCCAGGGATCTTACTCTGGACTTTTCTTGGATTATCAATACCGATTTCACAGGTTGTGAAGGTGAAATGGGATAGAAAGCACATTTGAAGCAATGCGTCATAGTGAGGCCCAAATAGATGCTTTTTATTATTTTTCAATTTCTGCACCATTTTCAAGGGGCTTTGAGCCACAGGATGGTTTCCCAGATGTCTGGTGAGGAACACTGACCATAAAAACAACTGAGGAAACGCTGTAGGAAAATGTGAAGCCCATGAGCAGAGAAGTCGTTCTGTCTCCCTATTCAGTAACCCCTGCTTGCAAGTATGACCTCAAGGCAGATGACAAGAACCTCTGCCATACTCTCCGCAGTTACTAACCCTGGTAGAGGGGCACACACATGGCCTGGTGCACTGTTACCTGTGACTGACCCATCTCAGGCTCATCGGCATTACCATGCTCCTGCGGGAATATGAGGTCAATATTGCTAACTTTAACATCTTACATGGTGCCGTGCACTTCTATCACTAGTCTTTTTACATGTCTATTCCATTTTTAAAGGAGTATCATTTATGACTACCTCAATCAATTCAACAACATAAAGTCAAAGCCTTCTTAATTCTTTATTGATCTGTTTATGCATCTTCTCCCTCTATTACTCCCTCTAGTTTTTTATCAGCTCCTTAAATGCCCCAGGGGACCAATTTTTATACTTGGCTCACTCTGAGAATCCAGTAGAGTTCCTGGTTTCTAATAGAGGACTGATGGTCTGATGACTGAAGGAAGGAGAAATGAAGGCTGATTTTTAAATGTCCAGGCCCGGTCTGCACCGGGAGTCACAACGGAGCTTTGCTAGACAAGCAGGAAGTGCAGAGGGTTCTAGGTAGGACAGGTGTCACCTTAGCCACCCTTGCCACAGTTCTTGCTGGCTACCATCTTCCTTCATGACGTAGAATGGAGCACCACTCTCTCAGGCCTTTCCTTGATCTTACTTTAAAATATTATCTCTTTTCTGTAATTATAAAAGACAAAAACCACATGTCCTTGCCCAAGCATAAAAGAACACATTAAAATCAAACCAGATATAATTTGGGGAGGAAAAGACCTAAGATTCTATGTTAAGTAAATAAATCTAACATGGATGTTTCCTCTCAAATATACACTGACTCGCTGTCAATTCTTTCATCACTCCAGCAGTGATGGGCTTTACACAGCACAATTCTTAAAACTTAATGTCTATAAGTCTCAATGCCCAAGGAGCACTAAAACTCATGGCTCACAAAATGATACCCAGGGGCCAAGGATACAGCTCAGGGCTCAGCACCTGCCTGGCAAGCTCAAGGTCCAGAGTTCCATCCTCTGTACCAAAAAACAAACAGAAAAACAAAATGATACAAAGTCACTGTATTAAGTGGATTCCAGATTACACGCTAAAACTTAAAGAACATCTAGAGGGTAATCATTTCCATCACAAGAAGTGAATCTAGGAGGGAAGAGGGTGTAGAAGAGGGTAGAGAAGTTCAAGGAGTACACGTGGAGTCACTACTGAGTAGCATTGTTAACTCAAACAGGGAAACAGTATGAACAAGAACAGGTAGCACTCAGCATGGAGCAGATCAAAGGCCTGGTTAGGAATGGAATCGGCAGGTGACAGGAATGAAGGGACACACCACACAATGGGACATCATCCTGGGCCTCCGAGAATGGAGAGTCTGTTGGCAGGTTCCCACTCAACAGGGTCCCCAAGACGCACTGAAGACGCATGCTTCACCTGCCTTCTGGGGCCCAAGGGTGCTCTAAAGGCAATGGGGGGCCAGAGTGATAAAGCACCCTTTATGTTTCAGCTGACAAGAGTTTAACAAGCTCACGTTTTAAATCCACATTAAATCCACGTTTCGTGAAGAATTTTTTGCAGGGTAATATAGAACGGCATGAGTTTCCAGGTCCTGTCGTGAACCTGTAGGGTTCCCTCAATTATCTGGTTGTGTTTTTCTCCACCTAAGGAAGACTGGCACTAGAAGCCCGTGGCTGTGCATTGGAAGCACCCAGTGCCCAGCGCGCCCCGAGGCCCTCTGTCGCCGAGCTCAGTACTGACCCAGGACCCAGGACCCAGGACCGAGTGGAACCCACCTTCACCGGGGCGCTCTGGGCCAGCGGCCTCCCGTCGAAGGCCTTCTGGGCTCTTCTGGCATCTCTGGCAGAGTAAAATTTGACAACGGCGTAGAAACCCGGCCGGGCCACGGCGGCGTTGGGAAGAACGCGGACCGAGTGCAGGAGGCCGAAGCGGGACAGCGCTGTGGACAGAGACCGCTGGGGCGGCGCGGCCCGGCCCGGGAAGGAGCTGAGCCCCAGACGGCCCCGCGACCCCAACGCCGCGCACGCTCTCGAGTGGGCAGCCCCGGGGGAGGACCCTGGCGGGCGGGGTGCCGAGAGGCTCCTCCGACTCCTCCAAGCCCAGCGTCCCCGCTGTTCCCCGTGGGACCTGAGCCCTCGAGGGGGCGGTACTAAGTGGGGGGGGGGTCCTGGACCCAGTTAACGAGGGCAACCTCCCCCTCCCTCCTGCCTCCGGCCCCGGCTCACATGCAAAGCCTCAGCAGTGGGTCCGGAGTTCAAATCCCAAACCAGCAAGGTTTTGTCACTCGCGGTAGGAACCGCAAAAGGAATCAACTCCGCCATCCTCCGCCACAGAGCCTGTGCGGAGGCATTCAAGCGGTACAGCGCCTGCGCGATTAGGGCTCAAACTATTACGGCGCCTGCGCGGCTGCGTTCAAGCATTACTGCGCCTTCGTAGCTCGCACGCGGGCACTACTGCGCACGCGCAACTAAATTCGTGCGGCACTGCCCTTGCGCAGGACACACCCCCGAATTTTTAAAAAGGGCGCGTCCTTGGGGGCGGTGTCCGTTTGTAGGCAAGGAGGGGGCGGAGCCTGATTGGACGAGGCGGGCAAGAGGCGGGGCTTTCCTCAGAGCGTGCTTACATGCTTCCCTTCCTGCAATGTTGGGACCCCACAATTGACCCTCCGTAAATAAGTTTGAGTTGGCTTCTGCCTCTTGTCATCAAGCAGGATCAGCCTATTAAAGCTGGCATCAGGGTAACTCTCTGTGGAACGGGTGACCTGACAACCCGGCACTGCCCCATGAAGGCCACAGCAACTCAATGTCCTGGAGGAATTTCCGCCAGCTGTAGAAAAAGGGAGGTAGGAGAGAAAGTTCTGTCACGACTGCCTCTCTACCTGGGAAACAAGATAGCAGGTCTGACAGAGAAGATCAAGGGTGTCTGGGTGGCAGCGCGGCCCTCTCCCTGCCTCTTGCTTCTCTCTCCAGCAGGGCTACAGAGCATGGCATCCTGGGGCCAGAGGGAGCCGGGATAAGGTGGAGCCCCAAAAGAAGGGCATTCTAGGGGTGCTGCTTTAGGGAGTACTTTATTGTAGCCAGAGTTCTACATGTGCCTGAGGTGATCTGAACCCTGGAGAATTGGAGCCGTAGGCAGCAGGAGAGGTGTCCATGGCCCAGGGCCACATGCTGGAAATTCAGTCCCTCTGCAGTTTAAAATCTTGGAGAGCTTCAGGGCAGTGGCACATGCCTGTCATCCCAGCACTCAGAAGGCTGAGGCAGGAAGGTCATCATGAGTTCAAGCCCAGCCTTGCCATACTTTGGCAAGACACACTCCCTGTGTCTCATGTGCTCGAAGTACTCCATGAATATATGAAATTTATTAGGTGTCTGCACCTCAAAAAGGTGCCTTAAATATTTACAAGTTACTATAACAACATGTGTTCCCCATGTTTTAAAAGCTTGGTTCCCCCCCACCCCCAGCTTGGTGATACTGGGAGGTGACAGAGCCTAGTGGGGTGGGGGTACCCTGGTGGGGGGCTGGGAGGCCCAAGTCTCAGCTATCTCTTTTGCTTTCCCATCATAATGTGAGCAGTCTTGCTCCACCATGAGCTCCCACCATGATGGGACCTCACCGCAGCCCCACAGCAATGGCACCAATCGACCATGAGCCAAAATACAACGCTTCTCTTTAGCAGCTCATGACCACGGGTATTTGTTGTAGTAACGGGACGCTGACTGACCCTACGCTGTACAGTTGGTTCTGTTTGTAGAAACAACAGTGACACATACCTGTCATCCCAGCACTTGGGAGGCTGAGGCAGGAAGCTCAGTTATCCCCCGGGAATGGGGAAGTGGGAAGGGTGGGTGGAGGTATGGAAAGGGCAAGGAAACTTTGGGGGGATGGGTATGTTTGCTACCTCCTCCGTGGTGACAGTGATTTCAGGTGTTACATGTGACAAATCGTCGAAGTACTCCATGAATATATGAAATTTATTAGGTGTCAGCACCTCAGAAAGGTGCCTTAAATATTTACAAGTTACTATAACAACATCTTGTGGAAAGGAAGTTATGGATCGGGCATGGTTGCTAAACCCAGCATCAGATGGACCCAGAAGTAGGGAGAAGCTCCGCCCACGTCACCGTCTCTGGCCCATGCTCGCTGTGTTATTTGCGCACTGGCCGCAAGAGGGCAGAAGCGACCCACACGCAGGACGTCAAGGTCTCCTGGGCTCGGGGCCTGGAAAGCGGGGCTGACACTCCATTCAGGCCTAGTCAGCGCAGCTCCTGGCTAGGTCATGGTCTCTAGTTCTGGTTCCATCCTGTTATGTGCTTTGTATGTAGATGTTCTCCCTGTGTCTCATGTGCTCATCGGTGGGGCTTTTCAGAGGTGACTGGATCTAGGGCTCGTGAACACGGATCAAGTGTGTGCGGTGAATTAGTCCCCTGGTTGGTTTAGGATAGTTCCGGGTATGGGCAATGCGAAGGCCACCCTTAGTGTGGGTGGCACTGCTCAAAGGGCTTGTGGCGTGAAGGGAATGCGGAAGAACAGAGAAAAAGGTATGCTCGCTGCTTCCTGCCTGCAATGCCATGGACTGTTCCCTGCTGCCATCACTATGGACTGAAATCTCTATACACCGTTAGCTGCAATAAACTTTTCCTCCTTCATCTGTGGGGGTTCGATATTTTGGCTCAGCAACAAGGAAGTAACCAATGCACACCTCGTATTGGTCCCTCGACACCAGGACCGCTTTCTGGGCACCCAGATCTTCTGAACGGCTATCCTCACTGCAATAAGGTAGCAACCACGGCTCCAGGTCTGCCATGGAGTCCCTGGAGATGGCACCAGAGGGCTGTGATTCTCAGGTACCTTTGGGAGACCACACACGAATGCACATCTTATCTGCAACCCATGGTGATGAAGCAAGAGAATTTCTGGGATCAGAATCCACAAGAGCACAGGCCAAGCTGACCAGGTTAGCAAGCAACTGAAAGAATTCGACACCACCAGAAAGGTTGCTTTCTAAGGAAGAGGGAGAGCAGAGGTTTTGTGGGGCCAGGATGATGAGAGTGGGACTCCCAGGGGATGGGGACCTCCCAACAGGAGACTTTACTGGACTGGATTTGAGTGCTGGGCATGGAGACCCTATTGCCACCACCCTGGTCCTGTGGGATCAGCTTCAGCCGAAGTCACAAAGCTGGAAACTGGTAGAAGGCACCAGAGGATTTGAATCCAGGTTTCACACCACCCTGCGGGGCTTAGGGTTCTGTACTCACCTCCACAGAACCATGTCTCTCTTCCTCAGTTCCTGAGTGAAACTGCTGGGCTTTGATAGCAGACAGTGGGTATTTCAGTTCAGCCTTCTGAAGATAATGCTGGTAACTCTTCAAAAGAGGAGTGAGCCGATGGGATGCTCCAACAAGGGGTCCCCTTCTCTCCCATCAGGAGAGTAAGGGCTCCACCTGATCTCCAGAGCAGCAATAGCATCTCTAGAGCAGCAATGGCCAACCTTTCAGAGCTTTCAGTGATGACAAGCAGCCGGCTGTGACACTGGTGCCTTAGGTTCGCCATGAGTGACCTAGGTGCTCGCTCAGACTGAAAAATGGGCTATGACTCGCCCCTAGGAGGTGTGTTCTCCCCTAGAAGACTGTAACATCTAGTGGCTTCCTGGCATGACACCAGCAGCACCAGTGGGTGATCATCTTCTCCCACCTTCCTGTCTTCATTGATCAGCTGGATCCCTTCTACAGAGAGAACCCACTCACCCTGCTTCTCCTATTCAGTTACACAGGGCATCGTGCCCTCAGCACTGGTGGGATTTGGGCGTACAGAGTTATTCCAGCTTCCCCAAAGTCAGAGCGGGCAGTACACCGAAGGTAGACAGAGTGGTTTAAGGCCATTAATCAGGCATCATTCCCTGGGTGGTGGAGCCAATCTGGGTCCCCGTCCTCGCTCCAGAGGTTTGGAGTAACGTGTGACCCTGCCCTACTGAATGTGATGCCACCTTCAGCCTTCACAGGCCCTGACACCTCCCACCCTTCACCCGCATGGCACTGCTGGGCCATCTTCCCCTCGTGGATTCTGCACCCACTCTTGCACAGCAGACCTGGGAGTGACATCGCTGGCAGAGCTGCTGCAGACTGGTGACGAGCGTCTCCTGCAGGCGCCCACTACACACTGTGCTACCCACCTGTCACACCTCCACCCTGGCTTTGCATTACCAAGTCACCTTCTGTCGGGTGCAGGCGCTCAACACACCCCGCCTGGGACGATAAGACCACGTCAGCTTCCGCAATGCATTACGTCCCTCTCTAAATTAGCCAACCCGTGCGCACCTCATGCTCACTCCGTATTCGCCCCGTGCCGACTCTGTGGCAACCCCTGATTGGCCACAGCTGGATATATTAGCCAGAGCCTGCGGCCCATTCCCGCCCTGCTTCCTCGTGGCAGCCTGTGATTGGTCACGGCCAAATATAAAAACCAGAGCCCACGTAAATAAAGCAGCAGTTCCTGTTACCACCTGAAGCGTCTCCTGTTTCATTGGGGCTGCGCCGGTCAACTGGTGGCCCATACGGGAGAGCTGAGACCCTCTCTCCGATGGAACAGATCGTCAACAGGTAAAACCGTCAAGTGCCAATAGCGGGGGCTATGCAGCGGGTGGGGGCTGACAGGTTAAACTGCTCAACGTTGGTAGCGGGTGCTACGCAACAGGGCTGGATAGCGGGGCTATCGGGCAACCTTGGGCGGACGCGTCGCAAGGGTCGAGGAACTCATAAAGAGAGTTCCGGGGGCCGTAAAGAGGCCGGTTTTGGGGGCGCCGTAAAGGGGCGCGGGGACTAAGCTGTCCCTGTTAAAAAAAAAAAAAAAAAAAAAAGGAAAAAGGAAACAAAAAAATAAAAAAAAACTCTTGAAATTCCCGTTAACATGGGTAACACCGCTACTCAGCCACTGTCGGTCACTTTGGGCAACTTACTGAGAGAAAAGGGATTACAAATGAAACGAGAACAAATTCAAAACTTCCTCGATCAGGTCGATAAGGTAGCACCTTGATTTGGTCCCACCGGGTCCGTTACCATCCCCAGCTGGGATAAATTAGGGAGAGATCTTGACTTTGCAGCAGAAAATGGCCTCCTGGAGCCAGGAGTCAGACCCCTTTGGGCAGTAGTGAGGAGCTGCCTCACAGACGCCTCTTGTCGTGACCATATAAGGGCTGGTGCCATGGCGCTTGGTCACCATCAGGCAGAATCTTCCCGCGAGCAATCTCGTGAGCCCAGTGTCACAGGTGAGGCGGCTGTCCCTGACCCAGAGAGTGAGGACTCGTCAGATAGTGAAGAGGAGGAAGAGGCACACAAAATGGCGGACGCAGCGGCCGCCGGAAAGGAGGAA